GTAGAGCTTTAAGGCATAGATGTAATTTCTACATATGTGGAAGGGAGGTTATGAAAACGACAGAAGATACGATGCGAGATTGAAAGGTAAGTAAGGTAAATGTGAAGAAGATATGAGATACTCAGGTACAAAAGGTTGTGAATAGTCCAGACTTCAGATATAGGTTGGATTTTAGATTAGTTTACAGAGGAGACCCCAGCAAATTTTTGTAAATCTCTAAGAGTTAACATTCGAGGACGAATGTTTCTAAAGGGGGGAAGGATGTTACATCCCGTACTTTTCTACGTTGGATTTGTCATAAGATAGTTGACATAAGTTCAATGACAAGACTATTTATGATATTTATATCAAGTGATAAGTAAGTGTTGTGAAGGTCATAGGGTAAACAAATTGAAGAAAGTGAGTTCCGTTGATGTTTGATATTTTGGGATAAAATACGGTCCAAACTATAATACTCCGTATTTATGGACTAGTGCCATACAAGGTACCACACGATCATGATAGTAAGGTATATGAAATATATTAGTATTTAAGTGAATCAAGACCTAGAAATTTTTGTGTGAATAACTGGTTTAATGTTGGTATAAAGTCATGGAATATGGAATTAGTTATAAGTGGATAAGTGTCATTTGTATGAATCCACGTGGAATCATGAGGATAAGGGGGGCTCATGACTAATCAACTTTATAAGGATTAAGGTGGCAGCAAGTAGGGAATTCAATATTGACTAGGCAAGTCTTGGAACTAGGTGGCAAGATTAGGGAGTTTTGGTGGCTTAGTCATCAAACTATTAGGGTGGATAAGTAATTAAAATGTTTGGATAGGCTTGACTTGATAAGCCTCCCAATGTGGCAGCCAAGGAAAGCCCAATAAATGACTCTTAAGTCATAGAGCAAGATGTCACATTTAGGAAATTGGTGGATAAGTTAGGTGGGAACATCACCCCCCACGTGGCAACAAGAGAAAATGACTCAAACATCCAAATGGTGACTCTTTGGTTTATGGGATTAGGTGGCGTTTTAGGGGATATTGTGGGCTGCCACATGGCATGAAGTTGGACAGGGTGGCACCAATGTGCACATGAGTCATAGCACTTGGTGTGCCTTGGTTACACGTGACAATGCAAGCCTTTAAGCCTTCATATTATACTTCTTTTGCAATTAAGATGTAGAAAGAAGGTTGAAATATTTCCTTCTATTATTAGGGAGTCTCTTACTCTAGAAACATAGCAAAAACATACATCCATGATACTCCATATGTCCAGCAATATGAAATATGCCATGATCATAAGAAGTGCTTAGTTCTTGTTCAAAGATTTAAAGGAGCAAAAATTGTTCTTGGAAAGCTCAAGTGAAAGTAGTTGATAATTTCATCAAGTAAGGTATGTTAAGACTATCCCTTCTTTCCTTTTGGCATAATCCATATGATACAAACGAAACGAGCAAACGCACAACTTTCGTAAATGACTCTATTTATAGACGTACTAGGTGTGCCTATGTTTTTGATTCCCCATGTGTCCTACTATCATATCGTCTGTTCATGGGTCTCATGACATTTTAAGAGATCGTATTGACTTACTTCATTATGCATTGCATTCATTTATACATATACATTTACCCATGACCAGATGGCATTATATACGCGTATATTATATGTATATGGGGTACGGGAAAAGGTTACAGCGTTATATACGCACCACCACCTGATCAGTTGGTATACGTTGATGATTTTGCCCACAGAGGCTGAGATTATATGATGGGATGCCCTCAGAGGCTTGATGATGTTATGTACGCACGGACCTATACATTATATGACATTTATACGCATATGCATGAGATTATAAATATTTCATGATTTACAGAGCTATCCAGACTTACAGGTTGAGTCCTTTATTCCATGTTTCTTCCATGTCCTTTATATACTGATTTACATGCCTTACATACTCAGTACATTATTCGTACTGACGTCCTTTTATTGTGGACGTTACATTCATGCCTGTAGGTATAGATAATCAGTTTGACGAGCCCTCATAGTCGACGAGGTTAGCATTCAGCGAAGGATCGGTAAGACTCCACCTCATTCGAAACGCAGCCGAGTCTATAAGTCATCGTATCAAAGTTTTGCTATAGACTTATGGGTAGGCCGGGTCCCTGTCCCATTTGATGTCGAATAATCTTAGAGGCTTTGTAGACACAGAGGTTCATTTTGTATAGTATGTCAGAGGCCTTGACGGCCCCATATGTATTCATATTTTAAGAACAATGGTTCATTGATACAACGTTTCCCACTTATAGTTATACATTACGAGTTGTGGCCATGTTGGCCCATGATGGTTACATAAAGAATGGGTTTAGCCAACTCGACCTATGCATTTTCTAGTTTTGGTCGAACGATTATGAGTTACAGAGTGGTTCGCCCGTGCTAGTAAGGCACCGGGTGCCAGCTACGCCCCTAGGTTTGGGGCGTGACATGTTCCTGAAGTGGTTCTTGGCCTGATCACTCAGGAACTCTCGGAGATGTCTATTGTTGAACAGCCGGGCCACCTACTCTCTTAATTGTCGGCAGTCTTCTGTTCTGTGGCCATGAGTGCCGTGATACTTGTACATTAGGTTAGGATCCCTTTGGGCTGGATCGGACTGTAGAGATCGAGGCCATTTGGTATCTTTGATGCGTCCGATGGCAGATACGATATCGGCGGCATCGACGTTGAAGTTGTACTCTGATAATCTTGGCGCTTCTTTAGGCCCGACGGGCCTGTCGAAGCTGTTTTTGCTCATGAGTCCCCGGTTGTTTTGACCTCGGTCATTTCTCCTTTCATTTCTCATAGGGTTCCGTCCAGACCCACTACTTCTTCGGTCTCCATTGTACGACTGATAACGATCCCTGTTTGATCTCAGTTCACGATCGATGTCTCTCTTGACTCTATCGAATGTTCTGACGGGATACACGGACCCGGAAGGGGCCCCAAGCTGATCATCTTTGACCCTGATTTTCGATTGATACCGATTATGAACATCGGCCCAAGTGACAACTGGATATTCTACCAAGTTTTGTTTCAACTGCTGTCAATCAAACGAGCTTCGAATGTTGAGTCCTTGGGTGAAAGCCTGAACGGCCCAACCATCAGCGACCGACGGCAGGTCTATCCGTTCTGTTTGAAACCGGAACACGAACTCTCTATGCATCTCATTATCCTTCTGTTTTACTTTGAAAAGGTCTGACTTCCTGGTCTCGACCTTGATAGCCCCGGCGTGTGCTTTTACGAAAGAATCTGCAAGCATAGCAAACGAGTTAATAGAATTAGGAGGTAAGTTGTGATACCATATCATAGCTCCTTTTAACAGGGTCTCCCCGAACGTTTTCAGCAAGACATACTCGATCTCATCATCCTCCAAGTCGTTGTTCCCTTTGATGGCACATGTATAGGAGGTCACATGCTCATTTGGGTCGGACATTCCGTTGTACTTAGGAATCTCGGGCATGCGGAACTTCTTAGGGATCGGCTTTGGAGCCGCGCTAGGAGGAAAAGATTTTTGAACGAACTTCTTGGAATCCAGGCCTTTTAATATCGGCGGTGCTCCTAGGATTTTGTCGACCCTGGAATTGTAGGTTTCCATCTTTTTGTCATTAGCTTCGATTTTCTTCTCTCCTGATTCTACCCGTTTTGTCAGTTCCCCGAGCATCTTTATGATCTCGGGGTTGGTCCCCGATTCATTTTCATTCAGCCTCTCTACGACCGGTTCGTTTCTGCGGGTGACTTCCCGGGGTGGATCGAGTTCAATTCTGCTCGGCGCGCGGCTTTGGTTCTGTAATTGGGCTATCGCCGCCTGTTGAGCCTGCAACATTTCGAAGATCACCCGTAAATTTATCCCTCCCCTCCAATGTCTTGTGTATTTCGGGCTGCTGATCGGGCTTCACCACTGACACTTTTCTCGGGGTCGGTATGCAGATTTGCGTTGATGGCCACATGCGAGTTGGCGTCAATCGGGTCAACGACCGGAATTTCGATGGGATCAACATGTGGTACCTCGCCACTGGGCACCATGTTGTTATTTTAACCGTGATGACCGGACTCATCGTCAAACATGTAGAGGTGCGGACTGGGAGTTTGACATTTTGAGCTTTAACCTGAAATTAGAGACACTCCAAAGAACAAGTGTAAAGTAGTGTGTGGTATAGAAATTTGTATCAAATAGCCATTATTATCCTCAGCCCCACGGTGGACGCCAAACTGTTTACCCTCAAAATCGGATAACAATTAAATTTGTAAGTGATTTTAAGGATACGCGAACTTATTTAACACAAAGCAGTAAATAAAGACAAATTGAATAAATAAGGATGAAGTAAGCTCAAACCGCACAAGGAAGACGACTTAAGTCTTAGTGAAATATTTGCCCTCGATCCGGGCTCATAACAACAAGCACTGACGAACGAAAGCAAAAGAACTAATAACAGAAAAAATAATGATATATTACCTTGGAATGCGTGTTACCATGCGTCAAATGAATTGTTAGACCCCTTTTATATAGTAGGGGAGTCCTATTTTAGGTACAACTTTATAAAAGGTAAAAAATCTTCTGATTTGCTGATTGCCGGTTCCTTATCGATACGTACCGAGATTCCTGCCGTAACATTTGGCCGGTCACAGATATTTCGGGCTTCTGGTGGCTATGCTGGATCGTCCGACAATATTCTTCGAAGTCGTTCGAGGCTAGGGTTGATTCCGGGATTACGGTCTCGATATCCTCGAAGGCAGGCATCATGCCCCGGGTTCTAACCTGATGGGACTTAGACTCGATTTCGATCTCTTATTGCCATATCTCGAGCCTAACTTATCTTGTTGAAGGTTAGGATGTACCATGAACTCGATTTTATCCGTATACGCAAGTAATACCGGAATGGCCCCGCAAATGCCTCCGCTTACGGAACGACGCAGAAAGTGCCAGACGCCTTGTGCTGAAAGAGCTAAGCGGCCACCTAAGTCGCAATTAGCTGCCACCTTGCATTGACTTTCACCCCCTAAATCCAACTCTTTATTCAATAACTATTACCTGCTAACATAACATTTGGGGAACTTCTCCTCATATAATTAAATTTTGATTGTTCCAATAATACAGGAGGGACCAACATTAAGAAAAATTCTCACAATATGCATTGGCTCAAGAATCTCATCCAACTCTCTTCGACCAGATCATCATTCAAATCTTTAACCCCAGTGTCACCATCGCTCACCCAATTGTTGCAATTTTCGGTGGCCGCAACTTCAGGGTTGGAGCCAACAAAGGGGGACCAGAAACCGAGGGTGGTGGTGCTGGGTTCAGGATGGGCTGGATGCAGGCTTATGAAGGGCCTTGACACCAGCATTTACGATGTGGTGTGTGTCTCGCCCAGGAACCATATGGTGTTCACCCCACTCCTGGCATCCACCTGTGTGGGTACTCTCGAGTTCAGGTCCGTAGCAGAACCCATCGGCCGGATTCAACCTGCTATTTCGAGCGAACCCGATTCTTATTTCTATCTTGCTAATTGCACTGCCGTTGATTTTGCCAACCATGTGGTATGCCTATCTTCTCACTTTCCTTTTTGCTCCCTTTTCTTTTAATCTTTCCTATTGTCTTTTTTTGGTTTCCCAACCTGTGTCCGAAATCCGTATTGGAGCCCGAGTATATGCGGATTCACGTCACGTAGGGCCCCATTTGGCGAGAAGCTCTCCCTACCAAGTATTTTTTCATACCCGCATCTCGATCCCGAGACCTATGGTTAAGGAAGAGCAGCCCAATCCGCTGCACCACATCCTTTGGTGGTAACTTTCCTATTGTCTCTGTCAACTTTCAAGATAAAAGCTACTCCTTTGAGTATGCAGTCTCTTAAAGAAAGACTCATTAACAGTAAAATCCCAAGTTTAAAGTCAATTGTTTCAAAACATAAATATATATTATTTTTTTGGAGTACTATCTTTCTCTCTTTTCTCCCAACAAAATCTGTTTTTTATTTTGACTGAGTAAATGTGGGGAACTCATGAAGAATCATACGACGGTTAGCTTTCCGTGGAATTTTCAATTGAAATGCTTTACTTTAGGAAGTTATTTTTTGGGATCGTTTTCTAATTTGTAAGTTCATAATTAGTGGTTAGAGCTTAAGTGTTAGACATGCCTCTTTTTATTTAATCCTTTGCCTGTTTGAGCGCCAGTTTTAGCGTAATTTTCCTTAGATTATAGTGGCTGGAGTGAGTGATGGTAGAATAAGGTCATGTCCTCGGGTTTTTTTTTNCTCCACAAGAGGAAGATCAATATAGCTCGTGTCCAGGAGACTAGATGGATGGTTTCTAAGGATCGAGATGCTGATGGGTATAAATTGTGGTATTCAGGGCGCGTTAGGGATAAGAATGAGGTAGGCATCTTGGTTGACAGGGATCTTAGGGAGTTAGTGGTAGAAGTTAGGAGGCTGAACGCTATTAAGCTGGTTGTGGGAGGGTCTACTTTAAACGTGATTAGTGCTTACGCGCCTCAAGGAGGTTGGGACAAGGAGATTAAGAGGCGTTTTTGGGAAGACCTTGACGGGTTGGTCTGTTGCATTCCGCACATCGAGAAGTTATTCATAGGAGGAGATTTCAATGGTCACATTGGGGCGACCTATATGGGTTATGACGATGTGCATGGCGGCTTTGGTTTTGGAGTTAGGAACGGAGGTGGTACTTCGCTGTTGGACTGTGCTAAAGCCTTTGATTTGGTGATTTCTAACTCGTGTTTTCCGAAGAGGGAAGAACACTTGGTCACCTTCAAGAATTCATTGACCCAAGACTCAAATTGTTTATCTACTCCTCCGGAAGGGTGATAGGCATCTTTGCATGGATTGCAAGATTATACCGAGCGAGAACCTCACGACTCAGCATAGGTTATTGGTGATGGACTTAGAGATCGTGAGGAAGAAAAAGAAGCGGTCTGTGTATAGTTAGCCTACGATCAGGTGGGGTGCCTTGACTAATGACAAAACGCAGGAGTTGGGGGGGAGGTTGTTGGCTGTGGGAGCCTGGAAGAGCAGAGGGGATGCGAGCTGTATGTGGACCATGACAACGGAGTGTATTAGATCAGCTGCGAGAGAGGTGTTAAGGGTCTCGAAGGGTTTCTCTGGCGGCCGCAAAGGTGACTGGTGGTGGAGTAAAGGGGTACAAGAGAAAGTGGAGGCCAAGAAAGCGGTGTACTTGAAGCTTATAGAGAGCATGGACGAGGAGGCGAAGAGGATGAACAAGGAGGGGTATAGGAGGGCTAAGAAGGAGGCGAAGTTAGCGGTTACTTGGCTAAGACTGCAGTGTATGGGCGTTTGTATGAAGAGCTTGGGGCCAAAGGCGGGGACAGGAAGTTATACAGGCTAGCCGAGGTGAGGGAGAGGAAGGCCCGTGATCTGGATCAAGTGAAGTGCATCAAAGATGAGGAAGGTAGAGTTTTGATGGAAGAGGCTCAGATTAGGCGAAGGTGGCAGACATACTTCCATAAACTCCTGAATGAAGAGGGTGATAGGAACATTGTGCTGGGCAATTTGGAGCACTCCGAGATTCGCCGGGATTTCGGGTATAGTAGGCACATAAGAGTAGAGGAGGTCGAGGGGGTTATGCGCAAGATGCACAAGGGTAGAGCAACCGGGCCCGACGAAATCCCTGTGGAATTTTGGAAGAATGCGGGTAGGGCAGGTTTGGAGTGGCTCACTAGGCTGTTCAACGTCATTTTTAGTACGAAGAACATGCCTGAAAAATGAAGATGGAGTACGATGTTTCCGCTGTATAAGAACAAGGGTGATATCCAAAGTTGCAATAATTATAGGGGGGTTAAGCTACTGAGTCATACGATGAAAGTTTGGGAGAGGGTGGTTGGAGCGAGGGTGAGGAGCAGTGTGTCTATTTCTGAGAATCAGTTCGGTTTCATGCCGGGGCGTTCGACTATGGAAGCCATTCACCTTGTGAGGAGATTGGTGGAGTGGTATAGGGAGATGAAAAAAGATTTGCATATGGTGTTCATTGACCTAGAAAAAACTTATGACAAAGTCCCGAGAGAGGTGCTTTGGAGATGTTTGGAGGCTTAGGGGGTCCCAGTAGCCTATATTAGGGTGATTAAGGACATGTATGATGGAGTCAAGACTCGGGTCAGGACAGCGGGAGGAGACTCGGAACACTTTCTGGTTGTGACGGTGTTGCACCAGCATTCAGCTCTTAGCCCATTTCTATTTTCCTTGGCAATGGATGCATTGACGCGACACATTCAAGGAGAGGTGCCGTGGTGTATGTTATATGCCAATGACATTGTTCTTATTGACGAGACACGGGGTGACGTTAATGATAAACTGGAGGTCTGGATGAAGTAGAGGCTCGCTTCCGGTGTCTTGTGTGATAAGAATGTGCTGCTGAGACTTAAAGGCAAGTTCTACAAGGTTGTAGTTAGACCGACTATGCTGTATGGAGCAGAGTGTTGGCCTGTTAAGAATCCTCATGTCCAAAAGATAAAAGTAGCTGAGACGAGGATGTTAAGGTGGATGTGTGTGCATACTTAGATAAGATTAGGAATGAAGTTATTCGGGATAAGGTGGGAGTAGCCCCTGTAGAGGATAAGATGCGAGAAGCGAGGTTGAGATGGTTTGAGCATGTTAAAAGGAGAAGTATAGAAGCCCTAGTCAGAAGGTGCGAGAGGTTAGCCTCAGTGGGTATTAGGAGGGGTAGAGGTAGGCCTAAGAAGTCTTGGGGAGAGGTTATTAGGCGGGACATGGCGCAACTGGAGCTGACTGAGGACATGACCCTAGATAGGAGGGTGTGGAGGTCGAAGATTAGGGTAGAAGGCTAGTAGGTAGTCGAGCATTTCTTTTTGTTTTACTCAGTTCGCTAGCATTAGTGTTAGTATGATATCCTTCTATTCATTGGCTTTTACTACCTAGAGTTTAACTGCTTTCGGTACAACTTTACAAGTCCTAGAAGATGTAGAATAAGGAATGTGGATAGCATTCAGATTATAATATTTAAAATTGACAGTAATGTCCAACTGTTGATTGAATTAAGTGATATGAAGTAAAAACTTAAGATATTTTTAAAGCAAAATGAGTCTGTCTATCAAGGAGACAAGTCATCGTTTCCTTTTTGGTGGAAAACATTTTCTACAAATCAAGATAACCAAACTTTGGAAATTTCCATCTACCCGGGTGTGTTTGGTATGAAGGAAAATATTTTCCATGGAAAATGATTTCTTGCAAAATATTTTTTTGGAAAATAAGTGGTTTTATCACTTATTTTCCCCTGTTTGGTTGGTGAATATGAAATTTTTTTTTTCTGAAAATATTTTCTAGTGTTTGGCTAGAGACTAGAAAATATTATTTGGGAAAATTTTTTTTTATGCTACTCTCCTCCCTCCCCTTCCCCCAATCCCCATGTTTCTTGTGCTCTCCTCCCCCTCCTTTCCTAAATACCTAACGTCTTCAGGACTAGAGATTTTCTTCAAGAATTTAATAATTCTTTTAAAATTTGACACAAACCCAAAAGAACTAATATGCTGCTTTACTTTTTCACGCAAAAACAATGTTGAAATTTGTGCTTCATAACTAAAAAGAAAATACTCTTTTTTTGGGTAGGGTAGGAGTGGGGTTGATGGGGATGGGAAATAGGGTGGGGGTTAGTGGGGATGGGAAATAGGGTGGGGAAGGTTAAAAAAGAGTTTTGAAAATGTTTTTCCTTTTCTTGATAGGGAAAACATTTTCCTCCAATCGGAGGAAAATGAGTTTATAAGAAAAATATTTTTCAAAACATTTAAGCCAACCAAACATGAAAAAATTAAAAAATATTTTCCGAAAAATATTTTCCTTCATACCAAACACACCCTCAAATGCACCATATTTTATTGGCTGTTCAGTCTTAGAGAATTAACAACTTTAGAGTATTTTAGTAGACTCGTCATGGGACAATAGATGCTCCTTTATCAGTTTGTGTGTACATCAGGTGAGCTGCCAAACTGTGACAGATGGAGTTGATGTCCTTGAGCCGTGGAACTTCAAAATTTCATATGACAAGTTGGTGATTGCTTCTGGAGCACAAGCGATGACCTTTGGGATTAAGGGTGTAATGGAGCATGCTATTTTTCTGCGTGAGGTTCACCATGCTCAGGAAATACGTAGGAAACTACTTCTAAACCTGATGCTGTCTGATGTGCCTGGTATGTTCGTCATGCAGAGATTCATTTGAAACACCTGATATCTGAAGTAAGTAATAGACTAATTTCTTGATTTGGTAATGGGCGCAGGAGTTACTGAGGAAGAGAAGCGTCGTCTCTTACACTGTGTAGTCGTTGGAGGTGGGCCAACAGGAGTTGAGTTCAGTGGTGAACTTAGCGACTTTATCATGAGGGATGTTCATCAAAGATATGCTCATGTCAAAGATTATATTCACGTTACATTGATTGAGGTAAACTTTTTACAATTTTTAAAATGGCTATGCCTCTGTCGTTTTTTGGTTCTTTTCACTGCACTGCCAGTATAGATATCCTTCAAATATTTCGGTTGTTTAAGGTGTTAGTATCACTATACTTGCTTTTCTGTTATTTACCAGTGAAGGAGCTGTAGCATTAATTAATTTATCTCTGTGTCCTCATCTGACAGGCAAATGAGATATTATCCTCCTTCGATGATCGTTTACGTGTATATGCAATCAAACAGTTGACTAAGGTGAGAATTTATCAAAGAGATATATAATTATGTGTTATTCTGCCATATATATAACTATGTAGTGCATACATGTACGTGTTGTCTGTACTATAGCATTGTCAGAAATGGAGAGATCATTTGTTTTATCATAAGAAATCATTACTTCACAATTTTTAATTTGTGTAATGACATTTCTGGGGATAGTGGTTGGCGTATTAAAATGTGCAGTTTCAATCTATCAAAAAAGAATTGCGACTTCGAATATCTCATAATATACAAAGGCTATATATTTGATAATTATTTATAGCTTTGAAAAAGAACTTTTTCTTGATTGGTTCTATAGAATTTATACTATTACCCAAGGAAGAGTGAGTAGATTGGTTATATGCAACCTTTTTAACAGCTCTAAAAGGACAGCCTTAGGATTTGAGAATGCATCACCAAACAGAACAAAGCTCTTGTTTCCATATCCATCCAAAAAAAAAGCTTCTGCTTTCCATAAGCTTAACAGTCTCATCCTATATTCATGAAGCTCAGCCAAAAGGATTAGGAATAAAAATTCATCAAAGATGAGAAGAACTTTCTGCTTATCCATTTCTCCAAATTATTATGCTAGTAGGATGGTGCTTCCTGGGTCACCTGGCATAGTAGGTTTACCATGTGTGCCTAATCTCCACAGGCAGAATTAAGAAGCAAAAAGACAGTTGCTGAATCCATGTATAGGAGAGAGTTCAATATGAACTTTGGCATGTTACTCTTTATCAGCTAGCTGATAGAACTGTGTTCTGAATTTCAGTTACTCCATACCGGGTGAATTGCAAGATGATGAAGCTTCAGAGTGAATTTAAGACGGGACAATTGCAAAATTGTTCCTCGGTTCTTTCTTAATGCGAAAGCATCATTTTTGTTTATATAGGCCCATACAACTTTTGCTAGTGATTATTTGTGAATTACACCACTGAACTTCCAGAACATGATAATGGTCAGAGAACCTCATAAACAGCGGAGAAGCTTTATCCTAAATTGATGTGTTTTGTCTGAAGCTGCCCTTGATAGTCATAAGGCACCATTACTCCAAGGAATGCATGAATATATTTTATGCATAAGATGAAATATCTTGTGCTAGTGATGATTGATGTGTTATAAATTGTAGCATTAAAATTCCTGAACTTTACGATAGTTAGGGAATAAAATAATCCGCGGAGAAGTATTATTCTATATTACTTCTTTTATTCGAACTTGTCCTTGATCATCAGTAGGCCCCATCACTCCAAAGAATATGTGAAATACTACCTTAATTTCTCTGGACTAGAATTAGTTTTCTTCCTTATGCCCTTTTCGCTTTCCTATGGCTCCTGTAGTGGATTGCTTTTCTACCATATCTGGCTCCAGCACTGGAATTAATTTTATATTTTATGCCCTTGTTGCTCCTATGGCTCCAGTTCTGGATTAATTTCTCACTCATACGCTTGTCTCTCTTCCATGGGACTTCCTTGCCATACTTTTTTGTCTTTTACTCCATCTTTTTGATGCTGGCATACATGAAGATGAACTTTCATGTTGTTTGCTCCCAACCGATTCAACTTGAGCATGCCGGTTATAATTTTCATTTATTTATGTCAGGTATTTGATATTCTATCCTTATTGTATTTCTTTCCAGTTATTATTAATGTCCGTTTTCAGTCAGGAGTTCGTCTTGTACGAGGAGTTGTAAAGGATGTGCAACCTGAGAAGATAATTCTTAGTGATGGCACGGATGTCCCATATGGTCTGTTAGTGTGGTCTACTGGGGTTGGGCCCTCGCCTTTTGTGAACTCTCTGGATTTACCAAAAGCTAGGGGGAGGTAAGTCTAGAGTTAGAATTGGAGCAAGTCACTTATTTCTGTATCTGGACATTTAATGATTATTGGACTTGGTAAGATTTTCCTGCTCAGCTGGAATAGGCGAGGTTGTTCTGTTTAGTGATCATAAGTAGCCAAAACGGTCGACCAAAACAGTCGACTCCAACTTTTCTTTTTTGATACTACAATAACAACAAACTCAATGTAATCCCACAAGTGGGTCTGGGGAGGGTAGGGTATACGCAGACCTTTCCCCTACCTTGTGAGAGACCTAGTGTAATCCCACAAGTGTGGTCTGAGGAGGGTGGGGTATACACAGACCTTATCCCTACCTTGTGAGAGGTAGAGATGTTGTTTCCGATAGAACCTCGGCTCAAGAAAGGCCTTTCCAAAACCGGTTTGAAAAACAACTTTTCTTTTTTGATAACCTAGAATAAGAATATAAAAATGGTCGACTCCAACTTATGTTCAAATAGATAGCTGGATCATTGCCGCCTCTGGTTTTCCATGTTTCGTCTTTCCAAAGCTAGGCCTATTTTATGTTGTTTTATTTGTCTATAATATACTGACAAGTATCTGTAACTAACAGGATAGGGATTGATGAATGGTTACGCATCCCATCAGTTCAGGATGTCTTCTCAATTGGCGATTGCAGTGGGTTCCTTGAGAGTACAGGCAAACAAGTTCTTCCAGCTTTGGCCCAAGTGAGTTACTGGGACAATACATTTCTTAAATTTTTTTGTATAGAGTTGCCGAAGTGTGTCAAGTCTAAAGATGAGGTTGCAAAGTCATAAAGTTTTGAAAATTATTGGATGCGAGGCTTATTATATATATCCAGTTTACCGCATCATCGATTCACCTGAATTTGAAAACACAGTTATGTGCTTCTGATTTAAGTGCTCTATTATAGATGATTATGTAGGCTATAAAACCCTCTGTTTTCAGAGGCTCTATAATGCATATTATCATATGAGGATATACTGTTGTGGTGGCTGGTCGTTACTCAGTATTCACCATCTCGGATTTCCGCCACCTTAAACTATGCTATCAGGCATTGTAGGTGGCATTTCCATTTGTTTATCTTATTATTATTTAGTTGAGTGCATGATTCTGTTAGGTGAGTCGAGAAAATTCATGGAACTTGCTGTATAATAACACCTTACATAATCATACTCTTTGTGTTGTATATTGTTGTTGGATGTCTGTGATAGATGATGAATATTCTGTTATGGTTAAGATATAGTGTGTCTGAAACTAACTGCAGCTTTGAAAGGTGAACTAGTCCAGTTTTCTTGATGTACCTTTCTTTGGTTTGATCAGGTTGCAGAACGCCAGGGAAAATATCTGGCAGGTCTGTTGAACCGGTTGGGTAAAGAAGGTGGAGGGCGTGCTAATTCTGCAAAGGACATGAACCTCGGAGATCCATTTATGTATAAACACTTAGGGAGCATGGCTACTGTTGGCAGATATAAGGCCCTTGTGGACCTTAGAGAGAGCAAGGTCTTTATCATTTTGTGGAAATGCTTCATACCCGATAAAACTTGTTAGCTTATTCATTTGATGACTTATTGCAGGCGGGAAAAGGTCTCTCTTTGGCAGGATTCACGAGTTGGTTAATTTGGCGTTCAGCATATCTAACTCGTGTTGTAAGCTGGCGGAACAGATTCTATGTAGCAATCAACTGGTTGACAACTTTTATCTTTGGCCGTGATATAAGTCGGATATGAACTTTTACCAAAACTTCCTTCAGTTTGGCTCAGCATGGTAAACTATGTGGTATTGAATGTGTTACTTCTCCTCCAAGTTGATTTCTTGAATAAGTTAGCTATTATCAACTTCTTAAGTAAGATTGCGGTATGACTTGCAGAAATTCGATATAGGTTCTGATCTAGCCTATTATTGGTAATAGTTGAAGGATGCCTAATTAGAAGGGAGTTCATGCTTTGGAAAAAAATGCTGTTGTTAGTGTACTCTTCCTTTTAGTAAGGGATTGAAGACCAGGTGCTTAAAATTGCAATTGCCAAAGTGGCTAAATTAACAAGGCTTTTGCTGTACTTTATGATGTTCCGTGTTAATCTTTATGCTCCTCTTGCTTTATAGAAGTTATCGACTATTTTTCCCCCTTACAGGACTGTTTGAGCTGAATTTGTCTTGAATTTAGATTGCATTTCTTTTAGCTCGATACTGATGTGCTATGTAGCATATTCTTGATTTCTTCTGCAAGAGGGAACTCAAAGTGGAATCTTCAAGTTATATACAATCCAGCAGCATGTAGATGCACTAGATTTAATAAATTTGCATAGAAAGCATGTACCTGATACGATAGATTTATCCTTGGTAATATTAAAAAAAGGGTGGTATTGGCGCATGTATCAGATGCTATAAAGTGTAGACTAGCAAATTATTCACTGTTGCTCGACTAGCTCATTCACTATTTCTTGGAAAGACGTTGTAACGGTACGAGTAAAAATCATAAGAAAATATCGCTATGAATATTGGTTGAGGTATAATCCATTAGAAAGTCCAAGACTCAAAATTATGAACTGAAGAGAAAGAAAAGAAGGAAAAGGCAACCAATACCATAGAAGGTAATGCAAAATTTTCAATAGAGGTTCGATGTAATGAGTATTTTCATATAATGCGATGGTGAGGGTAGTCAAACTAGAAAGACCCAGTGAATGAGTTGAGTTTGAGCCAGAGCATGATATGCCCGGGCTTGTGCCAGCCTCTTTTGGGTGAGAGTTATTTTTTTTTTTGGTAAACTAGTTACTTCATAAAACAAAACAATAATTACACGCCTTGCATGTTCATGGGGCTGCGCAGGTGGCCATGTTGTGGAGATACTTATTGGTAGGTAACATGTTGTGAACTAGGAGCCATGTGAAGAATTTGATCTTGTTTGGGGCATCTATCTTCTAGATCCATGTGAAGGAGGGTTCCTGGCCAAGTGAGGTGCCCCCCCTGAGCTAGTAGAATGGAATATGCTGACTTTGAAGAGAATATGCCACTACTGGTGTTACACTCCATGTTTTCGTAGGTAAAAGTACATCGTAAGTCAATTGATGTAAGCTCATAAAGTACCAAGCGGGTTGGAAGTAAGTTGATACTCTTTTAAAGTACATAAAGTAAGTTGATAATGTTACTTTGGAGGTTACAAATATTAAAGATCATGGATAACAAGTACCAAGCGGGTTGGAAGGCTTAGAAGCTAAACGGATTGAAGAAAATAAATTTTGTCGAAAGTTGACAAGTTGGGAATGTTATAACGTGTAATTTGGGATGAGACTAGGGTGCTTAACATGATAAGTAGGTTATGTTATGAGTTATTTTAGTCGTATGATAGTCATGTGTTATGTTTTGAACTCAAGCGAGTTGTGGAACAAAAGTTGGCAAAGGTCATCACAAGTTACATTCGTAAATGTGCTGAACATTAGGTCAAATGTAGCTGCGTGTTTCTCCCAATATACTTTGAATCATGGGGTGATCCACCTACAAAATTGAAGATCTACAAGTCTAGTTTCTAACGCATTAAACCGTTTGTCGATAAGACATCAGAGTAGAGAGATATTCACATTTTTGCGAGACTGCGCAAGCAGCTCCCTTGGGACCCACAAAGTCAGTGTAAAACACCAGCTTGTATATAAGTCAATTCTAAGTCGTTTTAACTCATTTTTCTCGACCAAAACAGTTCCTAAACCCTATTAGATGCTCTCCAAGGGTTCCCCCATGATCCTAGAGTTAATCCAGAGATAAACCACGCAAGTTCGACGTAAAGAATATCGTGGTTACCATTAACTCCCTTTCTTTCTCGTTGTGACGACTTAGGAAATTACTTGGTGTTGAAGTGAGTTAAAGAACAGAGGGTTCTTGGTATATTTGAGGTAAGTTTCATCTTCCATAACCTCATCTTAAGTTTTTACAAGTTTTGGGTTGAATTTTATTGGAGGATTCTTGAAGAAACTAGGAACTATGAAACTTGAAGTTGAGCTATGATGTGTGGGCTGTTTTTACATGTTTTAAGATACCAAATGGAATTGTAAAGGTATGGATATCATGGTGAGGATGAGGGGATGTGAAAATGAAGATTATTGTGCTAGAAAATGTTGAATTGGTGCTGTAAAAGATCCTATAAAGTTATGCACATAAGTTGTTCGATAAAATGACTAAATGAACTTCCCTATAGAATATGAAGTCGATATTGATACCAATCCTTTGTATGATATAGATTAGCATCCGTAAGAGTTGCGAGGACTTGCGCAACAGTTGTATCTTCGTTGATAAGGTATGTTAAGGCTATCTCTTGTTTCCTTTTGGCATGATGCATATGATACAACGAAACGAGCAAACACGCAACTTTCACAAATGAATCTATTCTTAGAAGTACTAGGGTTGCCTATTTTCTTGATAGTCCATATGTCATATTATCATATCGTCTGTTCGTGGGTCTTAGAAAATACGTAAGTTGATAATGTTTATTTGTGATATTAACCGAAGGCATATTGATCTTATGACATTCCAAGAGATCTTATTGACTTACTTCATTATGCATTGCATTCATTTATACATATATATTGACCCATGACTAGATGGCGTTGTATACGCGTATATTATATGTATATGGGGTATGGTGAAAGGTTATGACGTTATATACGCACCGCCACCTGATCAGCTGGCATATGTTGATGATTTCGCCTACTGAGGCCGAGATGATATGATGGGATGCCCTCAGAGGCTTGATGATGTTATGTACGCATATACCTATGCATGATATGACATTTATATGCATATGCATGACATTATGAATGTTTTATGATTCACAGAGCTATTCAGACTTACAGGTTGAGTCCTTTACTCCATGTTTCTTTCATGTCTTTTATATACTGATTTTTATGCCTTACATACTCGGTACATTATTTGTACTGGCGTCCCTTTTGCTGGGGACGCTGCATTTCATGCCTGTACGTCATGATAGACAGCTGGATAGACCTTCTTAGTAGACAAAGTCAAAAATCAGCTTGGTTGGTAAGCTCCACTTCCTCGGAGTAACCAGGTCTAGACCTTGGAGTCCATTTTATATATACAAGTTTGATGGGTAGGTCGAGGCCCTGTCCCGACCATGATATAGTTTAGTTATATCTAGAGGCTTGTAGACGAGTCTTGTATATTTTGTATATCAGTATTGTGGCTTTGCCAGCCCTTTGTACATGTTAGTTTGGTATTGCTGGTTGTAGACATTCATGGTGGCCTTGTCGTCCTTGATTGGTATTGTCAGCTCGTAGGTAGGCCTCGTCGGCCTAAGTTAAGGGTTACACCTCCAGAGTTCACAGTTAAAGAGTGGTACGCTCGGGCCACATATGGCACAGGGTGCCGGCCACGCCTTCCCAAGTTTGGGGCGTGACAAACTTGGTATCAGAGCAGTTCTATCCTAGGTAGTCTACAAGCCGTGTCTAGTAAAGCCTTATTTATGGATGTGTTGTACACCACATTATATAAATATGAAGCTACAAGGCATTTAGGAGTCTATTACCCTTCTTTCAAATCTAAATCGTGCTATAGAGTTGAGTCAAAAGAGTTTGAGCCAGAACTTATGTTTGCTAATGATACAGATATATTTGCAATTAGAAAGATTACAGCTAGCCAGAGGGCTAATACTGCAGAAAGTAAGGGCACTAGTAGAGGGAGAGTTCTTGACGACATGGCCCAGTTTGAGGCCTTATCAGATCGTGCATACCCGATGTGCAAATTTCCTGCTTAAGACCTTAGGATGGGAATATCTAATGCACCCCGCGAATAACAGGCCATGGGAGTATCAGAAGGTAAAATTATAAGTTTCAATAGGTAACAGAAACAAGGTGAAGGAGGGTACTAGGTACCCAGTTAGTGAAGATTATCAGTATTTACAATTCAGGCAAAGAAATATAAGCATTATGAGTTACCTTCATTAGTAACAGAGATATGTACAATTGGCCACACCCATCTCAGTTATGCCCTATGGGAGCTAACAAATATAGTTTAAGAGAAGAATGAGATATAAGGATTCAGTTGGGGTTAAAGTAACCCAAAATGGTGGTTGGATTATTAGTGTTAGGTGACATTTCCGAAGGATATTGCAAATATGATAATAGTTCTACTTTTGAGACACCCAGATGGTGCACTCTAGAATAGTACAGTTAGATATGAATATTGGAACGTTCAGAAATTTCAGAAGATATGCAGTGGAATCCAAAAAGGGATAAATATTTACCTTAGTATGACTCCCGTCCTTAGTAAAAAGAGAATGTTAGGCGACCCGAAGAGCCAGTGAGATGGAGCAAGGGGAGCTAAAAGTGAAAGAATGTTTTATTGAAGTTTTCAGAATAAGGTAATAGACAGAGATATTAGTAGGAGAATAAGAAGAGAGTAAATGAAGCATTATAAGTAAGATGTGACAAATGGGTAATAATAGTAAATCAAAATATGACAAGATGATATAGTCTATAGTCAAGTGAAGGAAAAGACAAAAAGGGACATGCCTTGAGACTATAAAATAGTATAAGCCATAAAGTTATATCCTTATTTCGAGAAATGAGTTGGTGATTCCAACGCGATTACCAGAAGGCTAAGTAGACCTTTGGAGTAATAAAAATCAGCATGGACTAGTAAACAATATAAGTTTAGAGACCATAGGATTCGATAATAGTCGAAATCATGAGAATTTCAGAGACCATGTTCTGTCAACAATAGAATGGACAATAGAAGAAAAACCTTTAAAGGTCATTTAGGAAGACGCTTCACTAAACGCAAGCACTGTGAGCAGAGTTAAGCTTAAGGGACTAAGTGTGCTAGTTACACTAGGTGTCCCCCTCGTGCGTAAGAAATTCAGTTATCCCTAGTACAGAAGGGTAATTGCAAGGCGAGTAAGGGTCATTGAAAATATGGAAAGACGCAGAAGATGAATAGGTAAAACATCTGCATGTAAACTTCAGAGCATTAAATGCTTGTACTCCCCTAATGGAAGAAAGATGGTGTGATATAGTATTAAGTCGAAGTTAAGTGGTTCAAATAACTATGAAATGGCAAAGAAAGAATGCGGTAAAAAGGCAAAAGGGATGAGATTGCATTTACTGGGATCCTACAGTTATGTTAT